TTGAACGCACACGGTCTCTTGGCAAAATACTTCCGGAAAAGAGCCTGACAGCGACATACTCAATATTCCCTGAAGGTGTCCCTGAAAACTGAGAATCCAAACGACCAGTCATTCCAGTGACGTCAAGTCATCATTCCGGGGTCAGCAGACCTGCACAGCAGGTCTCTTCGCTCGGACAGAAGGTGATGAAGAGCAATCCGTTGGTTGTTTGGTGTGAGTCAAAGCGAAAGGGTCAAACAAAGTCTGGTCAAATCCGAGAGGTTGTTCTTTTTTCTGATCCTGGTCGGAGCTCTTCAGGCTGCACTACATTTGTGACATGGTGACATGGTGACATCGTGCACAACATGTCAGGCTTCATGGAACCAACGGTGACCGATCTCGAGTGACGTGTGGGTCGAAGCACAGGCGCCGATGCGGCAGCACGGCAGGGTTGATGGTCCAACACACTGGGTCGCCTGGTTGCACAGGAACTGCGACCCAAGTCGACCAGGAACCCCTGCTGGTCCACCCTGTCCACGAGACCCCTGGTTCATGCTCCACATGGACGGTCGCTTTCTCTGGAGCTCAGACTCCTCCTCGCGCCATCCGCCGCCCGAGACCTTCCGTCCGACCGTGTGGCCACCGCCCCCCCCCCCCGAGACCCGTGTGGCCCACCAGGTGGCGATCGCGGTGGCCGGGACCTATTTGTCAATTCTTGACCTCGTCCACTGAGTCGAGCCTCTTCCGATGTCCGAAAGCCTTCGGGGCACCAAGGACTCGAACCTGTGACGGGGGCAAACAACACATGCATTGAAGGCTCGGATTCGGAACGTCTCGTCTCGTGGATGAGATGGCTAAAGCGAAGAACACCGCGCCCCGCACGGCGGACCTTGCTTGAAAAGAAGCATGGGGTTCGCTGCGCCAAAGTTTTGAACGCTTGCTGCACCCTGCTCGGTCAGGTCAAACCAGATCAGATTGACATTCAGACCTGTAGTTTTGTGGAAGGTCAAAACGATCACTTCGCGCAGGGACGCAGCTGATTTGGTGATTAGAGTCACTTGCCAGGAATCAGTCTGGTTCTTTGAAGGAAGAATGCCCAGTCGCTGGGCTGGCGAAGCCTTGACCAGAACTAATAAGCGCTATCTTTCAGGAATGGAATATCTATGAATATGTATCTCTTATACCCCCTCTGTGGCGGCCAAAAACCCGCAAAGCAATCGACACAATGTCCGGTGGAGTAGGAAGGGATGCTTCATTTTTGAAGCGCATCTGACTCTTAGACCTTCAGCGAACTTCGGTGAGAACATTCTGTCAAAGTCGAGTTGAGTTGGTCAACCACGACCTTGCTGAGCACTCGGTACTGTAGGTGGGCGAGTTCGAAATCCGACATCTCTCAAGAATATGTGGGATGCATTTATTACTTATTTTTTATTTATCTATAAATCATTTATAGGAGCATTTATAGGAGATCTTTGATCACCTCGTTCGCATCTTGGGGTATGAGATCTTTTTTGCATCTCTTTTTGGGGCGATCGGATTTCTGCGAACGGATCTGCGAACGGATCGACGACGAGAAAAAATGAGATCCGATGTTTCGCCCGATCGGTGAAATTCATGGTGAACCTCATTTGGTAAATATAGTGGTCCCCAAATAGATGACTCATGGCACCAGTTTCCAATACCATTTTTAGTGACCAATCCACTTTTCTATCATTTCTATCTATTTGGGAGTCTATATAATATGGGCATCGAATGAAAAGGGAGGCTTAAGCTTGGCTCCGAATTCCTGACAATCGACCACTGCTGCCCTGGCAATTCGCTCCCTTCGCCCTTTGCTGGGCGGGGACCACGTGCGCTGCTGCCACCGCGATCCAACTCCTGAGAGCGCGAGGGCCATGTAGCGAGTTGATGGATGTGCAGTTCCACAAGTGGAGCAGTTTGGATGTGCAGTTTTCCGTAAAAAAAGACAGAAGACAAAGGCCGAGGACCACAGGGACCACAGGTGCTTCATGGTACAAACACAATGGCTTTGGGGGGTTTGCCTCTACCGTCCGACTCATCGATATATAGAAGTGGCAAGCCCCCCCCTTTTTGTAGAGAAGAGTAGTCTTCCAAGGGGCCATCTCCCCTTCCATGCTGGTGAGTCAGAGTGTGTTTTTTTGCCTGATGAGGGGTACTTTGATTCTTTCACATGGAGGTCAATCCTGCCATCTTTTCGGGCAAACTTTGAACAAAGCAGGGAACAACATAGAGAACATGTGATGCGTGCGTTTTTGTTTGCTTTGTGCCAGGTCCGGGGTAGTTTCTGAGCTGAGCAGGGTTAAATCAAAGCGTGAACTGAAGGTTTTCTGACACCACATATGTTTCATTCAAAACGCAATGAGTATCCAATCAAATCAGAGGATAGAATTGGTCTTGGCGAGACACTATGACCAGACTTTTCTTGAACAACTTCACGTGTCCCTTGAGCGATCGCCCCCATGACGGACTCGGATCGTTTTCGTTTTGCCGCAACGTCCGCTGAGGAAGGCTCCGTGTTTTCTTCAAGTTTCTTCTAATTTTTGAAGTGACAATTACATCCTTCCTGCAGATCCATCGACTAAGAAACATATTTTCCTGCTCAGAGGTCTAAGCCTTTAAGCTGTTATTGATGCGTCACTGTGATGGAGGCTTCAAACCACGCAGTTTGTTGCTGGACAGAATTGGTTCCTCATGTTGCATGATCCAAATGGCGGACTCCGAATACTGGGGCAGTTGGGAAGCAGGCTCCTCCCACACTTCACCCCGAACGAGAGACCATATCCATTTCCATCTCCGAGAGGAGCCGAGAATCGAGCTCGATGCGCCGCGCGAGTGGCGGGATGGTTGGACCGGAGTGTCCGATGGTTCGGGATGGTCCATTTTCCACCGGATGGTGAATTTCTCCGGTGGTTTTCAGAGATGATTTACCCGTTTTTTCCACCTTTGGATGAGATGAGATGAACCCATGGACTCATATATCTGACTCAATCTGACTTCTTCGTGAAGGGTCAGACCGTTACCAAGGAGTTTGTGTTTTCGATCAGATCAGACGAATGGTCATGACAGAAAACTGCGGGAGTGTCATGACAGTCCAGGAATCATGACAGTCCGGGTGTTTTGCAAGGAATCACACGTATAATATAGAACACTGGCAGTCCCCCCACCGATTCGTATAGATTGAAAAGGCAGCATGGATGTATACATCCCTCAAAAGGTATCTGTGCAGGTGTATGGTTTTTGTGTGCGAATCGGATCTGATGTTTGACCTCTGAGTGCTACCACGTTGGATCCTTCGATCCATTCGGTACAGCAGGCTTTTGTGCTGCTGTGGCCCACTGCCACACGGGATTTGGGACGGACCATCCTTGGATTCACCGGGCACGAAAAGGGTCGAAACGGCACCGCATCGCTGTGGTCAGGGATCGGGCTTAGGGTGAGTTTGCTTAGTTGCTGATTAACTGATTAACCGTGTCTTGCTTCACCAGGGATTCAGTTGGGTGTGGCACTCTGGCACACTCTGCCACCATGTATATCGAACGTTGGTGGCTGTTACCACCGCTCTCGAACCTCACGGGTGAACGGACAACGGACGGAGTTCGTGCCGAGAATGAGATCCTGATGTTGATGTGCCTTTTCGAGCGTGGAAAGAGCAGCACAATTAAAACAACAGATGAACATTTGGGGATTGAGTATTGTCCTGCGGACTCTTTGGGGCCACATTGACCAAGACATGATCACATGCTGAACAGGTTTCGGGGCTTGACAATTGATTGGTGGCCAGATCTGTTGAATATATGTTTTTGGGGTCAGCCCCCCCACAGAATAGCAATTAGTACAGACGCCTTTGCACTTTCACAGGTCTCTTGCTCAAACATCCCCCCCAGCATCGACACCATAACACTCTCATCCAGCCCACAGGGCAAGAGTTGTATTTGCAGAGAGGCAGGATGTGGAACGTTCTATGCGAAAACCCTTTCCCTTGGAACATGGTTGGAACAAAGATTCTTTTTGAGGGGAGGCTCGATCTTTTTTGGGGGTGTGGGGGACCATTTTTTTTAGCACATGTGGATGGACATGTCGTCGACTCCGGGAGGGGAGAGTTCTTCATCGGCTCCAAGGATGGTTCCGAAATTCGCTCTCAAGGAGCAGCTCGGGAGATCGAGGCACAAGAAAAAGATCCGATCAAAAAAAACGAGTTCGGCGCGGTGGAGATCGGCTCGTCCAGTGGGATCGGGATGTCTATGTTGGGATCATTTTGGATCGTTTTTTGTGATCTACTCAACTAAGTCTCCAGTACTGGCTGGCAGCGGGACATTTTGGAGGAGCGTGGCGCCGTGTGGGAGGATCTCCAAAGATGCCGACTGGCGTTCATTTTTGCTCAAAGCAGGCGACCTGGCGCGCCCAGCGCAGGGGCATGCTTTTCTTCACTGGTTCAAAACTCGCGGATTTGCCATGAAGGAAACATAAGGAAACTCAATAATACCTAGCACATCGTGTCCGGGTGTCCTGGCTAGACTACCCCATACTACTTACTTAGGGATCTCCATTGGACATCCATTGGATGGTCCTGGTACCATTACACATAGGCGACATGTGACGATCGTTTGCTTGTTCTTTTTTTTCCTCAAGTCCCCCTTAGGGACCTTGTGATTTGTTGGTGCCTTTAGTTCTTGGACTCTTCCTTTAATTCCCTTGTCCAAAAGCCAACGTTCCCTTTTCACATCTTCATGTATAGGTGAACCCTATGATGATATGAAACAAGCTCATCAAAGCAGTTGAACTTGCATCCGCGAGAAAAGAGGATATTCAGATGATTGCGATTTGACCTCAGCGCCAGAAACCAAGTGGATCTCAAATGGCCAGGCAACATGACAGTTGATCATATGTCTTGTTTCGCCAAGCTCCAGATTGAGAAGGCAACTGCAGAATCTGCAAGACCACAAGGACAGGACCCCATGGAAGTCCCCACCTTTCCTCGCCTCGGTGCGCGTCGAATCCAGGTATGATCCTCTATCCAGAGGTGACCAACGGAACGCTAGGCCGGCCGGATCGGCGCATGGATGTTCAGCAGAAGTGTAGGGCATAAAAAAATCTGGGGATCACGACTACCTCGAAGGAACTTATAAACATTGCAAAGGTTAGTATCATGTATCTCAAAATTAATGAGTTTCGAATGAGTTGGGACGGTCCATGCCTCGTAGGCGTTCTCAATTCGGGTTTTGATGGTCGTTGATTCGTCGTTGATTCGCACCAATGTGTGAGAGAGAGAGAGAGTTGAGCGCGCGCGAGCGGGCGCGTATGAGCATGTCGTTCGCAACAAATGTGTGGCATCGTAACGATTTCTGCAGCAGAAATGGATTTCCGATTTCGGTTTCTTCATGGTCCCAGGCCCCGAGGAGCATGTTTTGTTTTGGGGCTTTTAATTAACTGCGCGATTTGATCGCTGGATTTCTAAGATCCAATCTCCTGGAAATGGGCAATGGATGGAAGGTATAGTTCCATGATCCATGTAGTTCCCACCCCCAAAAGCGCTTGGAAAATAGCAGCCTTGGCATGACATGCTCCACCAAGCTCCACTTCTAGGAGCAAACACGAAAAAAAACAGGTTACGGCGCTTCCTTTGGTTCATTGTACTTCCCCAAGCTGTTGGATCAGCGAGTTCGACCGCGGCTTTCCCCCAACAGCTTTCGTCCGACTCTTCAGGTCCGAAGTCGTTCGGAGTTCCGGCCGCCGTTTGCTCCGAGCTCCGGAGGTTCGGGTGGTTGGGTCAGAGGGCGGCGCATAGGACCGAAGCTAAGGAACGGTGGAGGCCATCGCTGTAACCATGAAGCTTTCGGCACATGCCGCATGAAGCTTCTCGGTCACAAGAAGCGATCCACTTTCCAGTTGAACGGATTCTCCACTTCCTTCGGTTCCTCTTGATCCTTTACGATGCATGTTTCTGGAGATTTCCCCCCACAACAAGTAAAAGGTGAAGACACACGTCGCGTCACGCGCGTGTGGCCGCGCCGGGTGACCGTGCCGATGCGGCGACGCGGGTCTGACCCATCGACGGTGCCCAGGGCCGTTCTCGGCGCAAAGGCGGGTCGTGGTGCGGGACGTGAGGGATTTCAGTCTGAAACTAAGGGCCTGCTACCAAGTAATTCCTTCATGATTTGTAATATGTGTTATGTGAAGATAGAAGTGATGTAGCGGTGGCTCCAAACTCATCATGTTGTTGTTGTTGTTGGTCGACAGCTGGACTGAGACACGAAGTTCGGACGTCCCTCCAAGACCACTGAGTTTGGACGTCGTGCCGAGAACATCGAAGAACGTCCGTCCCGGAGCATCGAGGAGCATCGTCTGACGGTTTGGACGTCGCTACCGGAAGGATCCTTGGACCCTCCATAGCAGCAGGGGTTGGTACCCTCAAAGCATCTCAAAACCATTCAAAACCCTTAGTTTTCGAGGATCCGGATCCTTATAGGGTACTGTATATTAATTAGGCTGTGTAATATATACTTTCTTTGCACAAACTTCCCCTCAAAACCATCAGTCTGAGGAGGTACCTTGACCCTGTCTATGCTGGTGCTACGCTATTGTGGTGTTGTCCAGTCTTATAGTTACTTTGAAACAGTACTAGTCAAACGAAGCCTGATGTGGCCCCATGAACACCATACAGCTGTTGCAACGGCTGGCCGTGAAGCTAATCCCATTTTGTGATTTGTTGGCAGCTACGGGTAGGATGAGGAGTGCAACATGTTCGTTTTGACGATGGATGGCACGTGTTGTTCTTCACTTCGGACCCCAACTGAGACCGACTGAGACGGCGTGACTTTTCTCGCCCACGTGGTCGGCAACTCTTCTCAGCCACGTGGTCGCTTCTGTTGGACGAAAAAAACCGTACCTAGACCTTCCAACGGCTAAAATATTCTAGTACGATTGGGTTGTTGTATTAGTTTCTGATGCTTCGATGGAAAAACATGGTAGTTGTCAGAAACGACTGATTTTTGCTTAACGGTGTGATTTGGGTACGCTCCACAGATTTTGATCCGAGTAGCCATCACCGGCTATCACACATCTATATTTAGGGGATGACTTCCGTATTTATCAACCCATCCATCCATCAGCCATCCCATTGGACGCAGTGGAAGACGCCAGTCATCATCGACCCGGCAAAAAACCGACCTTCAAGTTTTTTGCGGCCTTCTTGATGACGATAACTGGATTAATGCCCAGCTGCCAAGTGTCTTCATTTACCTTTATCATTATATAATGAACGGCTTCGAATTCCGGTGGAATTGCAAGATGCGATGCAGGATATGTACAAAGAAATGAAAAAACTGGCTACAGGGTTGCAATAAGTTCATCCTTGGTCAATGGCAGGGATAATTCGATATATAATAAATACATTGATGTCACCACGACAAATGAGGAATTGATAAAAACATCTGTCTCGTCATGCCCAGGCTGTGACCTCTGAAGACCTACATGGAGTGGAAAGCACTTAATGTTATTCTGAGGTTTCGGAGACAGAATTTGATGAAAACCCACGACCAGTTTTACCCGCAAAACGCCCGCAAAAACCCTCAAAACGCCGCTAAAAACTCGCAAATGCCCACAAATCCCAGAAAGTAGGTCAAATGGCTTTTTGAGAAACCTCTAAATTCGTTGAATTGCAACTCTTTTGGGCTGAATGTCATGAGTAGGATTGCCTGCTCGATTTGGACAATCTTTGGTCATAAGCTGTTCGGGAGAAAATGAGTGCCTATAGTCATGTTTTCCTACGAGCATGATGTCGACATGAGTTCATTTGTTAGCACAAATGCAATTATGGTTCCTTTTGCATACTCGTATATCATTACCGTATCTTGTAGTTTTGCTGCGCTCGAGCCTGCTTATAATTCTTGGAGCTCTAGGCCAATGTCTGATCGACCAGGGATTAGTGAAAGCCGCTATTTCTTAGAGGGGTATATCGACTGCCCAAGCGATGGCAAACCCAGCTGCACTTGATTTTGCCACATGTTTTGGGCAAGCATAAGAGATCATACTTTTGAACTCCCGTGAAACCGACCAATCATCATCGTCATCATCATCATCATCCTCATCCTCATCCATCAGGCATCCAGAGGCCACGGGGAGGGCAGTGTGTGACCATGCACGACCACTCTTTGTTTGAATCATATGTGCTCGACCACTTTTCAACTGATCGTCACAATAAAGTAGTACAAACCACATCGACCAAAATATTTTGGGATTTTGAAGGTCTAGGTAGAACTGGACCTTCCACGACGACTTTGTCCCCGACTTTGTTCCGTGGCCTTTTTGACTAACCTTTTCGGAATGGGCCATAGATGGGGGGAGGTTCAGTTTTGAAGCCTTCAAATGGGATATTCCTCCACCAATCTGTGAAACCTCCATTTTTTTATAGAGTCATTCCTTCCAGCTGCACCTGGTTTTCTAGATCTCCATCAACTTCTCGCTCGAATCGGAACGACTCGGACTTGAATCGATGAATCCGTCGAGGCTCTTGATGAACCTCTGTGCCATCGTAGCTCATGTTCTTCACTTTGCGCTTTGGGCTGAAGCTGAAGCCGACAGCCGTCCGGGGGAAGGAGCTATGACAGGGACTCTGGCACAAGCTCGGGTCGACGGGTCGATGCGTGGCGACTCGTCGACGACTGTTCTGGCAGGAGTCCAGGAGGTTCCGAGTGGTTTTTTTGAATCAAGAGATCTGGCACAAGCAGATCTCTCACAGTGGCGACTCTTCGTCGACGACTGCTGATGCTAAGCACTTGCTGAAACATGCTGAAACCCAAAAACATGTGAGAAAGGCTTGGGACTGATGTTTCTTTTTGACCTTCAGAGTCCGAGAGGAACGGCGGAACCTGGATGGAGAACACCGATGGCGTAGGCAACGGCACAACGGTCAGGACCGAACTGGAGAACATGTTCGTTCATGCACGTGCGAGGGATCGAGGCTCCGGCCCCAGGGCTCTTCACCATCTGGAGGCTCCAACGTTACACGGTACCCGACCCCTAAGACTGAAGGAAAAACTCACGCTAGATCTATAGAGACAACATTGCGACACGGTTCCTCATGAAACGCGTTTTCGAACACCGATGAAAACCCAGCTCTGTCGTGCTCCACAGACTACAGCGGTTCGTGGCAGGGGTCGTCGCTCTCATTCGGTGGGTTCCGACGGCCGCATCACCGAGGCGGTGGCCTTCATGGTGTTATTGGCCTCATGGCCAGATGATGATGAGGCGAAGAATGGATCCAATTCGATCCTTACGATCCATTTTGGGGAAGCAAAAAGAACCACATGCACGCCTGGATCCAATCCGATGCTGCTTTTTGCTTTCGATCTCTTCTTTTTTTGGGTGCCTTTTGATTCGGACCTCCCCCGTTTTGGACTGAACGACCTCTTGCGAGTTGGGGGTTTCCTATATTGACCTCTACATAGGTTCCTTGCCTGTCACCATGCATTGGTTATGCGAAGGGTTCCGCTCACCCAGACCACGAACGCGCCCATCTCACGCGCTTGGCGCGCTTGGCGCGGAAACCGCCCATGATCCCTTCACAGTTAAACATGTTTGGATAGTTGGCATCCACTCCCTATCCCCAATCATGAAACAGACTGTCTAGACTCTAGACATGCTTTAGCAACTTCTTTTCTTCTTTTTTTTAAACGTCGCACGTCGTAGGTTGGTGGCTGGACGGAGTCATTTAGTCGCGGTGTTTTGTTTGTCACCGAGGTGTGGATAAGGTTGTGTTAGTTTGATAATTTTGATTCAGAATACTATAATGGTTCTTGTGTCATCCAAAGATGATGTAAGAGAGTGAGGGGATTTTCAAATGAGTTACAGTCTTTGCAGGTGACAAGCACTACGAAACTCCCTTTCTCCTTTGGCATTGAATTTGCAGCTTAGGCCATGTGAACCTGCATGAAATAGCAAATCTATGATAATCTCTGTTACTATTATTGGTTTGAACATGTTTGCAATATATTGAACTGTTCCAGTCAGTGTGACCAAATTCGCAGTTATGGGCAGAACAGAAACACCACATGCCAAGACCATCACTTCATCGACCACTTTAAGAAGTCATAGTCCCCTATAGTACCCCTATAGACTCCCCTAGGACTCTCCCCGACTTCGCAGGAAGCTCTGCTACCGGGCAAGTTCCGTAGCACCCTCTACCTGGACGTCTTCGGGTACGCAGTTCCGGTCGACCGACCACCGCGGGTTCCCGACGGTTGTTCGTGCGTGGACGGTTCGGTCGAGCGACCACCGCGCGACTCATTGGACCGAATGATGAGAACAAAGAGTTTCAGACGGGGCATGTGTTTCATGACGGGGTAGGGTGCATACCTAGAAGAACACAGTGGAACACAGTGGAACACCGTCTTTTACTTTTCTTGTGACAGGGTATGCATATATGTTCGTTTCTTGTGTTATGACAGAAACACAGCGCGACATGCAGGGCATCTTTTCGATGGTCTCGGGGTTCTGGTGCAGTCGACTCTCGTTGTTCGATGGGTCTCGGTCGTGACGTCCACATCGAACAACGGTGAAGTCTCTCGGAGTCACGTGAGCGACGTGGATGATTGGCACCTGCGGAACATGGGCCATGGGGAGCCTGTCGGGGCGGAAGAGTGCGTTCGGATCGTCCATGTCGTTCGGTGTTGGATGAGATGGTGTTCATACCCTGTGCCGGTCCAAAGGCTCAGTCGGCCAAGCCCAACCGACCGAGCCCGTCAGTCGGTGCCGGACAACGAGTTGGCACAAAAAAATGGCACCGTGCGGACGGAGCTGTTGGTCTGCACCTGACCAACAGCAGTTGATCATCATTTGTTGTTCTTTTAAAGATGAAGAGATTCCATACCTCCATACCATAGAGATTCCTGTATTCCATATGGTCTTTACAACTCTTATACCTCATGAAGAGAGAATGTATAAGTATATTAAGGAATCTCTCTATATAGTTGGTATATAGTCATGACCCTTGGCCAGTCCCGAATCTCCGGCAGCGGCTTCCCTGCTTCGATGCCTCCGTTTCTTCTTCTTTGTTTCATTCACCATGATCATGGTCGGATGTCTCTCCTCTCGGATTTGGAACCAGTCACTGCTCCAGCCCCCTCCCCCAACTCTCCGGTCCGCACCGTTCACAGGTGGCTCCTCAACCCCACGGGTCCTGGCGCACGGACCTCCGCGGCACGTGAGGAGCACATGAGCAGAGCGGGGGCGTGGGGGGGAGTGGTGTGGAGGTGAGGGTGAAGAATGTCCGAAGCCGAAGTGGATCAGGCTGTGAACAATATTTTGAGACACACTGGAGACACTATATATTCTGTTAGATGGAGCTCTGTGGTGACAAGGGAGGAAGAGATCAACGGTATTCAAAAGTCCCAGCCTTTTTGGTCATTGAATGCTCGAACGTTGCTGATTGGGAGACCGGCGTTGGTGGTGAGTTTTGTGAACAAAAATCATCTCAATGAACAGATCGGCTCCCTGGGCCGATGGGGTTGGCAGCATTGCATAAGCTGGATGGGGTTTCTGGGGATGGAAGTCTGAAGGAGATTGGTGGACACTGTGGACCAGTGCCACGCTCGTAATACATTTCGCTTCCAAGATCTTATTCCCAGTTAGCATCCAATCTCAGATCCAAGGGATATGTCTCGAACGGATCATCGGCTCCTCTTGAACGCCGTCTTTTTGTTTCCATATAAGTTTGTGTCCACCCTCCCCACCCACCAGACCAGGGCTTTCCGCTCGTTTGCTCGATCTGCGCTGCAGGAGGAGGACGAAGGCCAAGAGAGCCGAACGAGCGTCGGACGAGCGTTTCGTCCGGCAAGGTATCGGTGTTTCAGTGTTTTGTTTCGTTGTTTTGAGCGACCATTTTCTTGGAAGGTGTGGAAGTTCACAAACACCCCACATTTCATGTGACAGGGGGCGAAGCGATGGGCTAAGAAAAAGAACAAAGCATAGACTCCTGTCAAGATGAGTCAACATGCACAACGTTTATGAGGAGTTACCCTCTGACTCACTCACATGGAAGTGGAGTGGAAAACCCCTTGTTGGTAGAGGAAGTCGTCGTCTTCTAAAGGACCATTTTCCATCCACTTCCATGTGATGTGGTTCGTCAGAGGACACCCTCTCCCTAGGATCCAAGTACTTTCGAAGGTACTTGGACCCTCCAAACAGCTTCTCAGATCACCTTCTCACCTTCTCAGAGGGTATGTGGATCCATAAGGGTCTCTCGAGCCTTCAACCAAAGCCCCCGCCGACAACCGCCGACTGGTCGCCGACCACGGTGACTCTGTCGACGACGTCCGAGCCCGCGGCCGGGAACAGCGTCCCGGAGCGCGCGTGGCGTTTGGACCGCAACAAAAGAAACATTGTGGTTTCCCATAACCAAAACAAATTGGTTGAGTGTGGTATGTGAAAACCCATGCTTTTTTCCATGGGTTATTTGGGCCGCTGGAACATGACGATTTCTCAATTCGATGTCGACCGCCTGCTGCAACCCTGCGACCACGCACATCCATCCACGTCTGAAGAAGCGGCCGAGACGAAAGAGTGAGAGATGAGGAATGGGCACCCTGAGTCCATGGCTTCATGAGGAACAGGTGGCTTGACGGCTTGACTTGGTGGCGATATGTTCGCACCAACAGAGCCTTCCGGGGATGGAGGAGAATGGATTCGCTGGCAATCCCAGCGTGGTGAAACCGCCGTCCCGACGTGGGCCAAGCGAGCGGGCGCACGGGGGTCGCTCATGGGACGATCGCTGGGGCAAAGAGGTCGCCCCAAACAGAAGCTTTTGAATGAACCACCCAGACTCCAGACCATCCATGTGTGGAACAGTTGTATTTACCTCATCTATGACCCTAAAATAATGTAATCAACTAACGTTAGTAACAACTATATATGCATTAATCTAAGACCATACATGGAGTGTCTGGGTCAGGTCGAGACAGTGGGGCTTGGTGAATCGATAGACCCGGGACCGGCGCAAGAGGTTGGCTGGTCGGTGCCGCGAAGACCGTGCTGGTCGGTGCAGAAGATGGACAGAATGCATTGGGAGAGCCCAGACAAGTGGCACTGGAAGTCGGGCCGCCTTGGCGCTTGGTGTTTCTTTTCTTTGCATATCTTGCCATTCCCTCTGGCTAGCTAGCAGGCAGGGTGGTGCAGGCAAATGAACTGCCCAAAACTGAGCTTTGGGGGGTGGCATCCATTCTGTGAATGTTGGTGGGTGATCATGGGCAAGTGCATTGAACACCTCTGAATCACTTTCTTGGTGCACTTGATCAGCGTGTCGCAACGCGCCTCCGGCCTCCCTCCGTCTCCCTGGCGCACAGACATCGCTCGTCTTGGGCCTCCAGGATGGGTTTTTGGGGCAGTTCAGTCACCTTCGGAGCGCGTGCGTCTTACCATGGAACCAGCGGTGTTGAACCCAACCTTCTCCACGGTGACCGTCAATTGACAGGACTCGGTTCCTTTGATCCGGCATTTTCCCACCCAGGGTGTCGCCATGAGGTCCGCATGAGTGCGGATTTCAACCGGGGTACCTTGGTTGACCACCGAACATGAACAGTACAACCCAGACGCCACCCTGGACCCCTCATGGACCGGAGGCGTTTGAGGTCTTCGGTCTGGACTGGTCGGGCGGAACTGTTTTCCGGAGTGAACTGTAGGCCAACATGTCGACTACACCCCTGGGAGTCGAAGACTATACAAAGGATGGTCTTGAGGTGACCTGAAAAGGAATTTCCTGTACTTCAGTTGGTCAAAACATAGTCTTTGGACTTCTAGGGCTACATGTCGACCAGAGGTCCATCTACCGCTGATGACCACCCCGGAAAAAGGCCGACCCGCCAGCCCCCGACCCGCCCCGCAGTGCGAAGCTTTCGGAGCTTCATGAGCGAGTCGGGCCACGAGCCACAGGAACCCGGCGGGGGAGTGGGAGGAGAGGGAAGGCGTTGGAAGCGTCTTTCATTTCTTTCTGTTTCTTTTTAAAGATTAACTTAAAAATACTTTAAACAATTGTTACAGACATTTTGTGTTATATATTCAAAACTGGAAAATATAAGTTTTACAGTTCAAAGGACGGTTTACTTTACCTGGCCTTTGGAAACGGTGAAGCGATTTGATCGGCATTTGCTTCGCGTGAAAACGGGCGGCCCAGTGGGCTCTCGGTACGACCGGACCTGTCCAACGGGGGACCTCGGTGACCAGCACTTTTGTGGAACGAACGGAGCAAGGATGCTACATAGTAACAAGAAGCTACTAGGGCTCCTGGCCGTACTACTAGGAGCGTTCGGACGCTACTAGTAGGTCTTTGAAGCTACTAGGAGCGTTCGGACGCGATGCGAAGGTTGGAGGCCATCGCAAGTAGGTTGGAGGCCATCGCTACGAACGGAGCAAGAAGCTTCCTTGGGAATCGTTTGACCCGTTGGATGATTTCTTTCTTCCCAAGCCAGAAATCGCACCAGATGAACCCGACAGGCAACCAGAGACAGCTTTTCCTCGTAAACTGCATTCCAAGCTTGGCAGGTTTGACACAAATAAACACCCACAATCACCCACCAACCAAATTCGACACGTGTCTTCTTCTTTTGGGGAGGGGCACCTGTTGTGTTTCCTTTGGGCGGCATATGCTTGGGATTCCAAGAAAAGTGTCGTGTTCAATATGAGGTCTAAGTTAAAGATGCTTGGCAGAAGAAAACACACGGAAATGCACTAAAACCATGCACCCATCTGCTTGACAGGGGCATGATGCCCAGAAAGCCGGCTCAATCCGGGTAGAAGCAAGTACAACATGGCTTCGGTGGGGACTTTAAGATTGCACACCGACTGACTGGTACTTAGTAGGAATGAGGGAATGACCCCTCACTATAGATACCTTAGGATCCATTCTCTCATTCCTTACGAGTCGCACCAGTCAGCCGCAGTCGACCCCAAAAGCAAGTCATCCTGCCTCCAGCGGCCCAAATCGGCTTCCCACGGAGTGAAGCAGGTCGCTGCGCAGCTGCGCCAGGTCGGTCCGTCGCTCGTTTTGATCGTGCCGTAGTGCGATCGACCAGAGGCCAGGGCGCGACGCCACGTGGCGTCTTGACCATCCGAAGGGTCAGAACGTGGCGTCGCCCACTTTGACATGGTTGCACTCCTGACGCAGAGGACGTCACGGCTGTGTTGAAGGAGACTTCCATTCGCGAGTTGCTTTCGCGACCATGGCGCAGCAGGCTGTGTTGAAGTCGCCATTTCGGAGCGGGCTTGAGATTGTAGGGTGTGTCGTTGTCTTGCTACCCCCAAATCACAATCGTCTTGAGTGTCCTGGTCATGCTGCGGTAGTGCACCCAGCTTGCTTGCTGAGTGATGGAAACCCGGCAAACTCCAGCGTTTGCGTCAAGCTCGATCTTTCTGAAGAACTTTAGTACATTACAGGCTAGTTTGACATTGGTGATTGCCCTTCTGCTGATGAAGGAGACATGGTCCATGGTCCACTCATGGGGCAGCCGTGCACCGTGACAGAGTTCCTTTCTGAATACCAAAGAGCGTTCAATGCACAGCAGGCTGCACTTGATTCAAACTGCTTGCAGTTTGCACGGGTCCTTGTTGCAGATTGTGGGTACCTTCTCTTGTTGCCTGTATCATGGACTCTTGCGCATGGACTTGAGGTATGTTTCCTGGAACATCTCCAAAAGCGATGGGAACTCTTCCATGGCGTTGAGTCGCCGCTACGCGAATTCGATGTTGCAAGAACTGGGCACGCCCAGAGAACTCCGAGAATGGAAGTGGTTTGAGAGTCGGATCGACCGTATGTGGAAAAATAGCTTCTTGTTACTACTAGTAAGGCACTTGTTCCTAGTAGCGTGGCACTTGTTTCTAGTAGCTTCTTGTTACTAAAAAACACCGAACCAAAGCACACAGCCTCGTTTGACCCGGTTTTTCCATCGCAGGAGGTTCGTGGGTCACCCACACCTTCACCGACCACTCGACCAAGCGTTGTCGAGGCACAGAAGATCGGATCGGCGGACTGGTGTTTTTGAGTAACAAGAAACTACTAGAAACAAGTGCATCGCTACTAGTAACAAGTGCCTTACTAGTAGTAACAAGAAGCGAACGTAGAAACAATAAGCTAGCATAAGTTTCGCAACTTAGTTGTAGTTGTAGCATTCGAAGAAGGACCAGCACGTTCAGCGTCTCGGTCCGGAAAAGGGAAACTGCAGGAATGCAAAGCACCAGCTGGGCAATGAACATGTTGAACATATTGTAGCGGCCCTGTGCCTCTATCATGGCTAAGACATCCATTACACTCTCCTCGCAAGTTGATGTTCTACTCATGGATTTGGCCTACACAAGACCCGAATGTTCTGAGAGAAGAGGGAAACTAAAAAGAACCCAATTGGAGGCCATCGCCTCTAGGTTGGAGGCCATCGTTACTAGGTTCCTTTAACGCTTAAACTTGAATATGTCAATGTTAGTTTAATCCTGGCAAAGTAAACTTGGGTTTGACATATTTTGCAACATCTCAATTCGGCCAACCCAAAACAACCGAGTTTGGACCATTCAAACCTGGTCCCCCCGTGACGTCGCGACGTCCGTGACGTCCGTGACGTTGCACACAGGCGGTCCGTCCGCGAAGGCGGGGTTGGGGGGGTCCTCCCCTGGCGGCGGCCATGAAGGATCATAAAGGGCCGGCCTCAGGCGTATCAGGGCGTGTGGCAGTCGCAGTTTTTACGTTTTTAGTTGAAGTTCATATAAATAACAAATATAATATATTATATTTAATTATATGCTGTGATTTTGTGTGATCCACACGTTCCAGTAGAGGACGAACACGGATTTGTTCAAGGAGGTGCCCATATTTTACACAGCAATTGTTTAACAAATTCCCTTGCAGGACATAGCTCCAAGTGTGTTCGACCCAAATCATCCTTTGAAAGCGAGATAATTTCTGTGAATGTTCCAACATGTTCCAAGTGGCATCGCTACGAACGGAGCAAGGACACTACGAACGGGGCTCCTGGCCTTACTACTAGGACAAGAAGCTACGAACGGAGCTTTTTCGCTACCCAACATGTTTCAGGTCTAGACAGCTATGGAATGCGAACGATCTCAGCATCACTTTTTGACTTCATCCTCTCACGGCCATCAGAGCCATCATCTGTCCGCCGCAACAGGGGCCGCAATTCCAAGCAAGTCGCAAGTGGAAAAGGATGGAACAGGGGGCCACTATGGACCACTGGAAAATCATGTTGTTTCTTCGAAGTGGGTTTCTTCCACTTCCGCAGTTTGTTTCTGGTAGATTCTTGCACCTCCAGCTGTTCAAATGAAAGTGAGGACTTGACACAGCCACAGGATCTACGTGAGGAGAGCCTGTTGCTTTCTTCAGGTGAAACCGTGAAACGCACTCACCCAAGCATGTCTGGCATTTGACCCCTCCTTCCTTCCCTGAGACCCCCCCGGCACGTCCGACGAGTCCTCGGTTCGCCGCGGCAGACAGTGGTCGTCGGGTTCCTGTGCATCTCCGTCCGCACAACGCGTCTCCGTCCACACAACTTAACGCTCGGGTTTTCTCAGACCACTCCCTAGAGCTGGTGTTCCGGGTGATGGGCTTCGGAACAGGCCACCTGATTCCTGATTCCTCTGGAAAAGGGCCACCTGCCACGGATCTGTGATCAGAACCTTCAAATGCCATATCGTCTTCAAGAGAGACAAATATATAAATCCGTTTAATACCTTCTAATATCTAGATATTTGTATGATAATTTACTATAATTTCTGTGCCCACTACCAAACAGCGTTGTTTTTTTTCACTCATTTGGATAGGTTGACACCTGTCCTTCCGCTCTTCTCCACGCCAAGCTCGCCGTGTTCCGCCCCGCGCGCGACGCGCATGTTGCATCCGGCAGGGTCCACAACCGATGGGTCTCCCCGAGCGCACGGGGCCAGGGCATCCCAGCGTCGCGTGGAGCGTGGCGTGGGGTAGGACTAAGGGTCACAGGTGGATCGGACTAAGGGCAGGACTTCTAGGGCAGGACTGTCTCATCCAAGGGGATCAGGTTTTGTTTGGGTATGACAAGGTGATCATATTTTTGGTGCAGTGGCACTGGTACTATGGGTCTAAACAGGCAGACCCTGGTTTTTTCCACTGAACATGAGCAGAA